CTAATTGGTTAGCTGTCTGACTGCTAGTACACTAATGACTGTATGATCTCTGTTGCATCAGTCCAGTTCTCACTGAGATTAGCCATTTACTTTAATGGGAGACATGTTGAGGCCTAATAAAATAGCATGTTGTCCTGTTCAGGAAAAATGGTTTGTAAGTCCAGGGTTTTATTTTTTTATTTTCCATGACACACTGGAGAAATGAGTGTGTGTAACAAAAAAGTAACTAATCTCAACAAGCTGTTATCAAAATAGCATACAGCTTCTTAACGCAGTTATAACAGTGTAATCTTAATTCGTCAGTAGACTGAATGGGTCAGCTTTTCTAAATGTCTACTGTCAAGGAAGGTGAATGCTGTGTCTGTTATGGGCAGTAAGATATAGAATAGAATGTTACATATATGAAACCCACTCATCCAAAGTAAAGCTTTTATCCATGAGGAGAGCCTATTTAGGTTTACGTTCGTTCCTTGTGAGCAGCAAAGTTATTGCCTCACTCAGTTATTTAGCCAGAAATAATTAGTGCATTTGAAATATGGAAATCTTTGAATGACTTCAGATGCATACAGTTCTGCTACAGCATTGTGCTTTCCCTGCAGTGTAACATACAGTCTGCAGAGAGATTATTTAGGGCAGGGGAGGGGCAACCTTTTTGGTATGCATGCCACAAATTAGCCTTAGACCGTCCCCAAGTGCCTCTCTGATCCCATTCCTCTGTCTGATCTGCTGCACTGCTTTCTGCTCCCTACTCTGTGTTCCCCACCTGATGTCTTGCTCTGCTTGCTGCTCCCTGCCCTATTTGCTGCCATATTGCCTATCCCCTCCCTGATCTGTGCAGCAGAGGCTGCCCATTCCACTTGTGGCAGTCATGCAGCAGTTTGGCCTGATCTAGGGCTTAGGGCTTCTGCCAATGAAAGGAACATAAGCAATTGTTCAAGTTAGTTTCTTGGGTGACTGTTATCTGCTGCAGGCTGATCTTAAGATGTGAGGGCTAGATCCAGAAGTGGACTTGAAGACTCTTAAACTGAGCATGTTGATTGCTAACTTTTAGGTGTGCAGCCCCAGGGTGGAACCCATAACCTTGAATTAGACATCTAGGCTAGGGACAGACTTTATGCATAAACCGGTTTAAGTGATCAGAAACTGGTTTAAACTGCCCCCCCACCCCCTTCGCTGCTGCAGCTGTGGACCATCATGGCCCCTGAGGCAGAAGGGGGCAGGGAGGGGGGTTATTCTCCCCTCTACCCTCACTGCCACTGAGATGCCGCAGCCAGGTCTGCCCACCCTGACTGCTGCTGAGTGGCAGAATAAGCCCCCTCCTGTCCCCGCCATCTGACGCCAGAGGAAGAGGGAATAAACCTGTCCTTGACCCCCTCAAGGAGCCCTGCCAGCCAGCATCTGGCCCTGCCAGGTGGGGGCTGGCTAGGGAGTGGGCTTCCCTGGCCAGCTTGGATGGGCCGGCAGGCTCTGAGCCCGGTGGCCACCACTGCCATGCCCCCTGCTTTGTGCAGCATCCAGGGCTGCAGCCGAATAAGCAGCTGCCTAATAAAGGGACTGCCCCTGTCATTTGCAGCTACCGCTGCCATGCCATGCCATGCCGGTCTGGGTGAAGGGGTGGGAAGCTTCTGCCCTGCATGTGGAGCTCCGGCTCTGGCTCCCAGATGCCTTGGAAGGCAGAAGGTGCCCCGGTGGAAGGCTTCAGTTTGGGGGCTGCAGCTGGAGCTCCACGTGTGGGGAAGAAGATCACCCCCACCACCAACTGGAGCAGCTCAGGAGCAGCAGGAATGGGAGGGGGAGTCATTGCAGCAGAGGAGGGGAAGCTGGCTTGGCCTGGTATAAGCTGTCCTTCTCCCCTCACCTCCAGCTGCGGCTCCTGCCACACCACGCAGCGCCGCTCAGGGCTGGGGGAGCTTCCTTCAGCCTGGCAGCTTCAGCCCAGCTTAGGGGACAGGAGGGGGCTTATTCTACCACTTGGCAGTGGTTTGGGGTGGGCAGACCCAGCTGTGCAGTGTGGAGAATAATCCACCTTCTTGCTCCCCCCTGCCTAAGGGGCCATGCTGGCCTGAGGCATGCAGCAGTGAGGGGGGGCCCCCTGGCAGACCCGGCTTGGGTCCCTGCCAGTAGGACAGGGAGGGGGGAATTAAACACCTCTTTGGCCAGTTCAGCCCAGACTGGCCAGGCCTCCCCCCAGCACAGCTTCTCTGCAGCTGATGGCTCTAGTGCCCCTGGCTCCTGGCCTGAACAACTGCAGGCATGTGCCCATATGTCTGTTCTGTTACAAATGGGTTCAACCTAGGCAGGTTAGACTAATCTGCAAAGGTTGAATTAATTCAGGTTCTGGCTTTTTGAATGTCTGTCCCTAGCCCTAGGCATCTAGCCAATACATGGAAAAGTTAGGTGTCTCAGAATAGGATTCCCAACAGCCAGCAGGATAAGCAGGGAGCTTTTGAGGCTAGCTGAGGTTGCTAAGGGAAATATATCTTAAATCCCACTGCTCTTCAGAGCTTAGGTGCCTATTTCCACTTGCAATTCATAGCCCTGAACCCTGGAGTTAGGTGAGTAAGGTACAGATATCCAAAACTTGATGCAGAATCAAGATAAGTGATGTGATTTTCTGTGAGCAGCATAGTTTAGATCAGTAGGAAACAACACACATTCGCCCTTTGACGGAGCAGGGAGGAGAGCACATCTTAGACTGGGTTCTGCCATTTTTAAACCAGTCTATGTGTGCCTAACTTCTGTTCTGTTATGGGCACAGACTGGCTTCTGATCACTTCTACCAGTAAAAGTGTAATGTCTGTACCTGGCTTAAGATTCTTCTCTCAAGGATGGAGCAGAAGTTATTTTTTTTCTAAACTGGTAGTAGTGCTGGTAGCAGCTCTTTTTGCAGGATCCTAGTGGCTAGTGCAGTCACCCAGGATGTAGAAGCTGCAAGTTTGTCACTCTCCTCTGCCTGGGAGGCCTGAAATCCACATCTCTTAAGACAGTGGTCAAATTATCAGGTTAGGCTTGAACCAGTTAACAGTAAAACATTAAAGATGCACAGTCAGAGGGGGATAAAGTGAATGAACTTGACTACAGTCTAGCATTTAAGGTGTGCACCTGGGAAGGGTGCATAGTCTCCGGACTGCATCTGTGTTTTACATTAAACAGCCAGTAGAAAAAATATATAAACGGTCCTTAGAACAAGGACCAGAACAATTCTCTGCTGTCCCCAGTAACCAGTAGGCTACAGTGTCATGTCCACTTTCCTTTCTTTCTCTGGCCCATTAAGCCTTTAATTCTTTTATGCAAAGTGGACAGAAGGGGTGAGCACTACTACCTCTCCAGACTAGCCTATGACTTAGTGCTTAGGACACTCTTCAGGGAGATAGGAGGGATGTTGTTTACCCCCCTCTGCAAGAGGAAGGGAATTTGAACTTTGTTTTTTTATATCATGGATGGGTGCTTTCCCATTTAGGTTATTGTATACAAGGCCAATGCTATCACTCTTACCAACTGCCGTGTTTGAATGCAGCTGCTATTGTGTTTTGTGTGGAATCCCCTCCTCTAAGTGTGCATTAAGCATGTTCTTAGTCTTCAGACCGACACTTAGCTCTTCAGTATTTAAATCCCGCTTTGGGTGCTTAAGGGCCTTTGTGGATCCAATCCAGCCGTAGTGCTTAATGGTAATAGCATTGCCACACTCATAGATGCACCCCAAAACAAAGTGCCTCTGGGGTTCACTGTCTGCTATGCATGGATATTCTCCTGAATTAGATTCATTCCTAAATGGTTTTGTCTCCATCTGTAACTAGAATGAAGCTTGGTTCAGTTTTGTCATTTTTATATCTGTATATATTATGCTACTTGATATAAATGTAATTTTAATATAGTCAAGGCTGCTTTGAGAGACAGTGATTAATAGTGGCCCCCACTTGTTCACACTATGAATAGAGAATCACTGAGAATTAAGCATTTGGTAGGGGTTTGTTGACTATTGCCTACCTGCTCTGTGGTTGTAGGAGCCTGACAATGGTGAATGTACATTTTAAAAGGAATAACTCTAACATGAAGTAACATCTTGAAACAATGAGACTATATATTGGATAAGTAAATCTCAGTGTCTGAAAGGATGCCAGTATACTCCTGGTCTTAACTGGATCAGGAAAGACTCTGCTGTGGTAAACATACACCTTTGGGCGGAGGGGGAACCTGGAAATTACTTGATTAGTGTGAGCCCCCCTAGAAATCAAAGGTGATGTATGTGGATAGCTAGAGAGGCAACTGTACATAAGCCTACCTTGCATTGCTTCGCCTTTAGTCTTTCCCTGTGCAGGAGAGACTAGAGTCCCTCACTGAGTAAAGGAGACTGAGAGAAGCAAGTTGACAGGAGAACTTTCAGGAGACCCTAACAGAAAGATCAGAGGCAGGGTCTGCTTATTACCCTGTTGAAGCTGGCTAGGGACAGTATCCTTGGATTTAAGGTACAGGGTAGGAACAGGTCGTTGTTCTGATATTTTGTTTTGTTTGTTTACTCTTATAGCTCTGTCTGTCTCAACAAATAATTACAAATTTATTTTGCTTTTTTCTATTTTATAACAAAGCCCTTTCGTTATCTTCTTATAAACCACTTGATGGCAGTGGTAGTTGTGATTCCAGAATATTTTGACCAGACATTCATTCCATGGAAAGGGGGATCCATTTTTTCTGAGTGTATGACTGGACAAACGTGTGACCCTTCTAGCTGGCAAAATGCCCTCTGCTGAGGGTTGGCCAGGCCTGAGCAAGACACTTAGCGCTGAGGCACCGTAGGCCAAGCAGTTGGCCTCTGGTGCACCACAGCTGGTTCTCAGGGGTCAAGCAGCAGACAGCAGAGAGGTGTTTGGGGCAGAAAGGCACGCCAAAGTGTGGAAGCCCCCAGGGAGCATGTCTCAAAAGTGCACCCAGGCCATATCGAGGGCCAGGGCATGTCATGAAGTTTTACAAAAATGCCTTGATAATCTGTTGTTTTGTTTCAGTGCGGTGCTCATCTGGGGCATATCTTTGATGATGGGCCTCGACCAACTGGCAAAAGATATTGCATAAACTCTGCTTCATTGTCATTCGAGCCTGTGGACAAGAACAATGCTGGAGAAGGCAGCAGTAGCACCAGTCCTGCTCAGACAGACAAAAGTGAGCTGTAGGACAAAGGGCAATCTGTAGAAAACTGTTCTTATCCCACATGGCTTATGAAGAATGTTTTTCCTGAATTGCCTGCTATCTTATATCATAATAATTTTTAAATGTGTTATACTGGTCTGCACTATCTATTTTTTTCTTTCTTTGTTGAAACAGGCCTTGCCTACCAAATCTGCTTTACTGTATAATGGATCTAAATATTTGTTGACTGCCTTGGTTTTTGGGGGGTGGGGGAGGGGACACGGGTGGATTGCTTTGGGGAATCCTTAAAATAAGAGGCTTTGACATCATTTGTTCTTAGTTTCTTCTTGTTGCTTTGTTATTATAGATCTGAACTATTTTCCCTTTTGTTAGGGAGAAGGGAATTGTGGTTATCTTCAGTCAATAGAAAACTCTTGAGCATAATAAAGGGTGTCTGTATATGTGCAAAGACTCTGCTTCAACATGCTGTAATTACGTGTTGGAGCAGACTTAATTAATCAGGTCTGCTGGAGCATGGTAATTACTGCACTCCAGCAGACTCCAGTGTCACGTATATTAGCATCCCTGCACTGAAAAATGGCAGCAGGGGTGCTTTAACTAAAGCTTATTCGACAAGCTTTAGTTAAAGCACTCCCACCATCATTTTTCAGCGTGGGGATGCTGATACACGTGACGCCCTGGGCACTTTAGTTAGAGTGGCTCTCGGAGCCGCTTTAACTAAAGCGCCACCCCCTAACTCCCATATATAGAACTTGTCTATATATGCCCAAAATGCTGAGTTCTCAGCACAAGTACTTTTGTTATGACTTGAGAGGCTTGTGGCCTTTGGTTATGCATGTTCAGCCATTCCACACTATCAATCAGACCCAGGAAGAACTTGCACTTAAGGCAATTTCCTTCCCACTGGAAGTGCTGGATGAGATGCAAAGCCTTATTATTTATTTAAATTGCTGCTGACATGCAAAGGGATGTAGCTGCAGGGAAGTAAACTGTATCAGAATTCATTTTTCCCCTTGTTGGATGCTGAAGTATTAAATCAAGTTCCAAAACTATTGAGCCTTACTGGGCAGGGATCACTAAATCACCTACCTTCGCCTTATTTTGTGAGGCTTCTTCTGCAGCTACAACTATGAGAGGCCTGGACTGGAATCATTATACTAAAATATAAGTAGGGTTGTTTATTTAGGCAGGTTGAACTTCTGGAGGATTGAACTGGATGTGGGCTGAGAGTGGGTAGGCTTTTTATCGCTATCTAGGGCAGTGTTTCCCAACCAGTGTGCCATGGCCCACTGGTGTGCCATCAGGCATGTCCAGGTGTGCTGCGGCATTTTGGGCTGGAACCATGCCCTCTGGCTGGCTGGAACCCCCCCTCCCCACCGCCTGCTGCTGCTGTGGACATGGACAGACAGGGAGCATGGCTCTAGCCAGGCAGGGGGTGTAGCTCCAGCCCAAAATGCCGTCCAGCTGGCCATGCACCACCCCCCATCCTGGCCGGTGTCTGGCTGGCTGTGTGCTACCTCCCCTCTCCCCCCCACTCTACGTCCAGTGTGCCGCGGCACTTTTTTATTCAGGTAAGTGTGCCATGGGGCAAAAATGTTGGGAAACACTGACCTAGGGCAGTACCAAGCACACTGTAAGATAGGATGCAAGAAAGCATGAGACTACAGTCGAGAAGAGTGAGGCCCTTGTGCAGTGCTCTTTTAATTAAGTTGGTTCAGATCTATAGACCCTCAGAAGTCCAGGTCTTCATTATCTGTAGCTACGGTGACGAATGCTTGTGGGGAGCTTGAGGGAACAGCTGAACATGAAAAAAGGCAAAAGCTTTCCACAGCTGCTCTTTACATTTAGTTTAACCGTCTCTAGGATATCATAATGAATAGTAAGATTCTTTGAGCTATAGTGACAACTGATGATTGTGATGATCTAGTATCACTTTCTCTTGAGATATTCAGTGACCAATCGGATGCAGTGCTTGCTTTTCTGAGTATCCTTTTGTGACTGACATTGTGTCCAATCCTGTGCCCAGTGAGGAGTAATATACTCATCGGTGTTGTAGTGAAAGCAGGATTGAGCCTATTTATGTAAATAAAACTGAACAAACTACCTGAGATATACTCTTCATTTTAAAAATACCCTCCGTAAAAGCATATAGAAGGGTTAGAATTGCTGCTTTAGCACCGTGACTAAGGTATGAAGGAAGCATAATGTACTTTCAAGTAAAATAAGAAATAAATATATTAAATATTTAGAGCTAGATTGCTTAGTCCTTGTGTAAGTGACCAGCTACTTACACGAGTAGTCCAGCTGATGTCATGGAAGCAGTTGCTCATCACCATAAGGAAAGGTTGTGTTGACTAGCCCTTGGTGTATAAGGGTAATCAAGTTTCCTATGGCCCCAGCACTCTAGCAGTTTCTCACAGAAGGGCTGTTCTTATTCCTTGCCTTTGTTTGAAAAGTAAGTATTCTCAACCACGTTTTCTGACATAAACATAAAAAATGCAACATCTATAAAACTGTGTTCCATACATGTGGTTTAATTTCAGATTGCTGTTGGATTTAAGTGTTATCAAATTTCAGTATATTTCTGTCTTATGTTAAGGACATATATTACTAAAACTTCAGTGAGCAATAATGTCAGCTGTCCTACAGTAGATTTATTTTTGCAGGATATGGAGTGCAATGAAACGAGTCAATATGGCGAGGTGTATGTGATCTGTGGGAGTTATACTATTTAACATAGGAAATTCATTGTTCTCTCTGTCTCTTGCTTTCTCATGGCACCACAGCACGGTGCAAGGTTTCCTTTTAGTGCTCTTAGAAGATGCTAGCATGGGCTGGTATTAACAAGTGTGCACTGAGCTTGGTCTGGCTGTGACTTATGCAAGAATGTTGGGAGTTGAGTGCAGCACAACAATAGTTTTCTATATATTTAAATTTTGCACTGTCTGGATGCTTATAAACATTTGAATGCAAATAATCTAGAAATAGAAAACTCTCTTTTATAATAGCCTCTCTATACTGTTATTTGGATGTTTGACTAGCATAACTTTTAAACTGGTATGGAAAAGATTCACATATATGTTCTATAAAGATATATATACTTGCAACTATAGTTTCAGCCTTCAGTACCTTTTTAAGAATTAAAAATTTTCCTCAAAACAGTTCAGCACTTTTAAGAAATCATATATAAAATTTTCAATGAAAAGTTCTTTTCATATATTTGTTGTACACAGATATGCAATAAATTCCTTTATAAATAAACACTGTTCTATTTTCTTTTCTATGTGTGTCTGTTTTTGCCCCAGGTTCATCTGCTTCCAGCGTTAGCATGTCCCAGGTGGTTTCCTTTACTTGGTTCCCTTTACCACAGTCTGTACTTTGTACACTGGATATCCTGCTCTTTACCTTAACCAGATGCACAGAACTGAGAGGGGAGAAAGATTTGCAGAAGTGTTCAACCTTAACTGTAGCAAGCATTTTCAGCCACTTCCGTCTGTTTTGGGGCTGGACTTTGGGAAGCGCCATACAGAGCGGAATTTGTAACTTTAAGAGCTCTGTCATGCCAGCACCTAGACTGCAGCTGAAGACTTTAGCTAGAAACATGGAATTTGTTAAGAATTCATCTCTAGGGGAACAGCTTTGGAATGAACCATTGATAACAGATTAACTCAATTCGATAAATCAGCTCTTCAGAATATTTAAAAAAAAATAAGGGGAAAAATCTTTCATGGTGTTTTCAAGCCAGCTTCCATGCTTATGTTTCTAGGATCCAGAGTTATTGGTGTGGCAATTTCCTCCTTAATTGTTCTTAAATATTAGGAGGCAGCTAAGGAAAATCTTCATGACAGGGCATCAGAATGTCAGGTGCTGAGAGCTCACTTGTACATTGTTTATTAACGTGCCCCCCACGCACTTGTGTTTCCTTTTATAATAGGAAAAGTTGAGAAGAGCGGGATTAATAGTACTAAATAAACAGGACTTGGGGCCAGACAATTCCATTCATTGTGGTTGTTTTGCACTGCATTGCCAACATAATCTAGCTCTAGGAAATCAGTTTAGGAAGATTTCTAATAGCATAGAATTGGCATAGAGGCTTTTACACCAATAGCCCTCCTTAGTGCTAGCAAGGGAAATAGCTGAGGTACACCCTTATGTTGTGCTAAGCTCCAGCCAAAGTTTTGGTTTTGTTGGGTCATTAGCAGATGGTAGAATAATAATTGTCAGGTAGTCAAATAGGATTATTTGCAGTATACTCTGTCCTTGTGCCCCATTTGTCACCTTGAAAATTAATATATTTTGATGCTTGGTAAGTCTCTTCAGATCAGAAATCTGGTATCAGTTGCCTGGAGTGGTATTTTCATAATTTTTCATTAAAAATAGTCAGGATCGGTCATATTTTTATTTAAATTTCATAAACTGTTATTATAATTGGAATATGTTAATACTTTTTAAAAAATACATTGTTTCTATTCTAAGTGTATCGTGATCAATGAACTGGTGAAAGACAGGACAACTGCATATAGCAGGGTTCAGCAGCTTACAGCCCAAGAAATCATCAAACTATTGTATCCAGACTGCAGATGTGGAACTTTGGTGTCATTTTGTGTCAGGGGCTTCAGCTGCAGGCACACTTCTGTGCTACTGTGGGGAGAAGTGGTAGCTACAGGTAGATCCTTGCACCCACCTGCCTCTGATCTGAGGTGGCTCATTTCAGCTCACAGCTAGAAAAGGTTGCTTGCTGCTGGTCGACAGTATAGTCTTGAGGCTTTCTGGAATCTTTATTTATACTGTCTCAAATGCTTACATGTGAGTGCACTTTTTTTCAGGATCCAGTCCTACTGTGGCAGTTGTGTATAGCCACATGCTACAGAATACCTTATCCTTTTGGTCAAGCTTTTCAGGCCACCTTTTAACTAACATGGGCCATTAGCAAAAGAGAGGTTATTCCATAAAAAAGCATGCTCCCTGTTTCAAATTCCTGATTTCTTCCCCCTCCTGCTATTCCTCCCCTACCCTTCCCCACCCCTGGCAGTACCTGAGAAATGTCATTCTGCAGATGTTTCAGCCAGGGGTTTCTTATTTGGTGCCTTTTATACCTTAAGTGTAACTGATACCTGCAATCTAACTTCTGTCTTTAGCCAAAAAGCATCATGTCACTGATGCAGCAGGTCTGTCTCTTCCACCTCCATTTGCAATTAGTGAGAGTTTTTCCTTTTTTGATAGGCAGCATTCCAGGCAATACTGCTCCAGTTTGACACTTTCTTTTGTCCTTTCACTTGAATCTGAAAACTGTGGCTTTGTGTTACATCCCAAATACAAAATGACAAGCTTCCTATGTGCCCAGGTGAAAAAATACCCGTTCCCCAAAAATACAGATAATCAAAATATTTTCTCTGCCTTTTCCTAATGGTTCTACAAGAACCTTAGTACAAATTTTATGTGCCTGATTGGGTGGGACAAATAGGTTTCTTTGTCAAGCAAATAAAGTAAGTCTTAATCATCACATTAAAGTAG